AAAACATAAATTGTACTTGAATATGAGAAATGAAGATGGATGATAATGCTTCTAAAACTTCTACTACGGGAAAACATATCACTTGTGGATGACCCTTATGCCCTCGAAATTATAAGAGAGCTTGGATACTTGCCTCTGGCAATCGATCTTGCTGGTGCATGCGTGAAGATGGAAAAGCTTAGTCCAGTTGTTTTTCTCGAAAAGTACAGAAACAATCTGGCTGGTTATGAACATACCCTTGAACTCGTACAGAGAGAGGCTGGTAGTAGTTATGGGAAGTCCATCTTGACTGTCTGGAATGTCTCGTTCGATCGCATTAACAGTAGTTATCCACTGGCTGCCAACCTTCTTCGATCTTTTGCATTTCTTCACCCTGATAATATACCTTTTGTACTTTTTGAACGGCATGCTAAAACAATTCTTGCTTGGGATACGACACCATCCCATATGGATTTGACCCTCGCTGTAGCACATTTGCGTGATTTTTCGTTGGTTCGGGAAACACATTCCGATAAAAATGATGAAGGCAGTCCAACTAAAACCACCCTTACAATCCACCGCTTGGTTCAAACGGTTATACGCTTGGGTATTAAGAATTCAGAAAAACTGGAACAGTGCAAGCGTCTTATCTTGGCCCTTGGCCCCTCCGAATTTCTGGGACACGGCCAATATTTCAAAAAAAAAAAAAAAAAAAAAACCATGAAGGCATATACCGCATGTTCAACATGTCATTGTGCAACTCTCGAAATGGACAATAGAACTGCATACCATCTCGAACGAACTCACTACAGTGTTGTTGCCAACTGTAGTTTATCTCACACGGCAAGCTCTGTTTGAGGGTGTTAAGAATCTCGCTAAACTTGCAGTCGAGAGCTCGGAGATGGCAAACACATAGACACTGCAACCGCTCTGAGTAATTTATCTTATTTTTTATGCAAATCAAGGCGACTTGAAGGCCGCGCAAACGCACTGTGCACAGGCGCTGGCAATCCGCAAAAAGGAACCCAAGGCACAAGGACACAACAGTATCACTGCACGACCGGCGTATATTTATCAAAAACTTGGAATGGAAAAAGAAAGTCTCACTGCTATATTCGATGCTGCTCGAGCTGGCGATCAAGTAGCTCAAAAAGAAATAGCTCGTCGCTACCAAATTGGTATTGGAGTACCCGCAAATTTAATGAAGCAGTTTACTGGTTATGTCAATCAGAACATTGAGCTCTCCAAACTTTCCAATGCCCGAAAACTATAATGGTGATAGTATCGATCTTACACCTCTTCATTATGTTGTTCATCAAGCCGACATTGACAGCATACGAAATTTTGCCGCAGGTTACAAGCAGTGGACAAACATAGGCGACAAGAATGGTCGAAATCCATTACATTGGGCTGCGAGAATAGGATATGTCGTGACTGAAACATCAACGCCAGGGACATTGGTGGTCAGACGCCTCTTCATGAGACCGCAGCGAACGGACACACTGAAGTGGTAAAGTTATTTGTAAGCGAGTACCGTGCAGATGTGAATGCTAAGAATAAAGACGGACACCATTTCATAGGGCTGTGGCGAATGGGCATATGGAGGTGATATAGCAACTCGTGAGTCTTGGTGTAGAGATCGATGTGAATACCAAGACCGAGATTGGTCGCACGCCGCTTCACGAGGCAGCAGGCCATGGATATGATTGAATTACTCGTAAGCAAGTTTAACGCGGCTGTGAACGCCGAGACCGAGGGAGGTTAGACCCCGCTACATGAAGCTGCAGAGAATGGGCATATTAGGGTTGTGTGGTTACTCGTAGGCAATGCAGGCGTGAACAATAAGACCAAATTTAGCCAGACACCGCTTCAATTGGCTGCAGAAAACGGACACATTGGGATCGTGGAATTACTCTTAACTGCGCCAATACCAAGGACGAAGACGGGCGGACACCGCCTCATTGGGCTGCAGTGGACGGGCACGTCGAGGTTGTGAGATTACTTGTAGACTCCTTTGGCGCTGATTCAAACACCAAGGAAAATGATGGCCGAATGCCATTACATTGGGCCGCAGCCAACGGGAATGTCAAAGCAGTGAGGTTGTTTGTAGCTGAGTTCAATGCTGATACTAAGGCCGGACTCACTCAGTTGGCAAGACAAAGGATGGCTTTACAATTTTGCACTGAGCATGGAACGCATCGCCCACAGTCAGGTACCAGAGAAAATATTCAAGATATCAGAGAATTCATGCAAGATAACAGAGATTTTGTACATGAGCATACAAGAGTTCATTACTCTTGTACACTGTTGTGATATTTATTTTTAACAAAAAATAATATGATTAGCTTTGTCTATATTATTTGTCTAGCCATTATCTGTACTTTCTAATATACTGTTTTTATCTCTTCAACTATCTGTACTTGGCTATACTTAAATATAGACTTGAAGTCATTCTTAGATGCTATATAGATAGAATACATATATAATTTGATTGTACTAGAGTTAGATTATATAACTTTAGATAAAACTAGCAACTATAGAAAAGTATTTATATAAGAATAACAAAGATCTATAAGATAATTTAAAATTATTTATACAATATTCTAGTAAAGAACTCTCTTAACTTTTATAAAAGCAACTTTGCTAGATTCTCTTTTAGCTAGAAATACCACAGATGATAGTGTTATTACTATTTTTTACTTGACAAAACCTTTTATAAAATACTACCATATATTGCTAAGTTATTTAGAATATACTAACTATATACACTTTGCCTTATATCACATTTTTGAGCCCAGCAAACATAGATCCATTTGCTTGGTATGATCCTTGATACGAAATAGTATTGGCGGATATTAAGTTCGGATCCATGGACGAGAATCGTAAAGTTTGAAAAAGGTGAAGCAGTAAAGCCAATAGGATTATCTCCGGCTGGAAAATATAGTTCGATGTAGAGTTTAAATGTTCATATGCTTGATGCTATAATCGATCGCCGACTACATCACTTTTGACTAAAACTTGCACAGTGCAACAGGAGATGCAATGACGCCTGCCGTGATAAGATTTACGATCGTTGAAACAAAAGGATGCAACTGTACAAAAGAAAAAAAAAAAAAAAACTTGGCAATCGCCAAAGTTGATACCTGATCAAAATTTGTAAGCCTGCAAATGACAAGAAAACTTGTAAAGATGTTCACTCCGTTCGAATCCTGCGGATGCTTAGTTGGATGCCGTCATGAGCCGCGAGAAAAGGCTTTCGCTAAGCCATGAAACCAGGTTCCTTCTGCTCAGATCAGTTTATTTTTCGTGGTGCTCAATATATATATTTTTTCTTTTGAAAATACTAAATTACGCGCGTGATATGTAAATTGTAAATTGAAAAATTCCGTATATCAAATTTTACCTTTTGAAATAAAGAAAATAAAAATAGTTGCTACAAATTCTATTTCCAACAAAAATCTTGCAAAATAAAAATAAAGGTTTTTTTTTTTTTTTTTTTTTTTTTTTTTTTCCTCCCACCAAAAAAAAGGAAAAGGTTCAGTATACGCACATCCTGCATATCCTCCACAATATGATAAATGACCTTTGCTTCCTCCGAAAACTTTCCCCCCGTCGGATATGTTCTAGTAATATCACTTCCGTAGCACAACAGCTCTGCCCCCGCATCAACCAGCAGCATCTGATAAGGATTGTCTTCATCCAACCATCTATTGTTCCTATTATAGTGCAATGTTGCTGCGTTATTTCCCGACGCCACGATGGGTGAATAGCATTGGAAGAACGCCCCTCTTCGCGCGCATTCATACACGAACAGCGCATGGAGCTCGTACTCGTTTTGCCCTGGGCGCACGGTGCGCATAAGTCTAAGATGCGCGTCTGACGAGATGCGGTTGATGCGTCGCAAGAGATCAATCTCCCAATCGGCTTTGATGATACGGGCCTCAGCGAGAGCTGGACGGAGGAAGGCGACTTCGAGTCGAGGCGAAGGGGCGAGGTTGGATAGCGGGAGAGCTGAGTTATCGTTAATATCGAGGACGTGGATGGCAGTCGGGCGGATGGAGGCAAGAACGGTGGATAGTTGATCCTCGTACAAGACCTCGTCAACGTTGTACTTGGCGAGGAGCTCGGGGAGAGTGTCAGGCTCGCCCATCCAGACGATCGAGGCCTCGTCAACGAGAGGAGCGAAGAGGATGCTGCGTTGGGTGTTAAAGTCGAAGAGGAAGTGGAAGCCGGGCTCATTAACACCTGGGAGAAAATCAAGTAATTTGTTAAAGACTCAAAATTCCCAGAATCCATTCGTTTGCATCATTGCACATACATCACTACATTCCATGTACTTACCGGTTAGATAGAAGAAGTGACTCTCTTGCCTAAACGGCAGCTCGACGTCTGTGTCATCGCGCATGCATAGCATATTGCCTTTGAGGTAGGCAACACCCTCGGCGGCAGGGCCCATGTGGTGGACCAATTTGAGGGCGTTGCTCTTCGTTGGGAGCCTTGTGTGGATGCCGTTGGTCTTGTAATCTAGAGGAAAGGTAGTCAGTTTTTGGGTCATGTCAGATAATGCAACTGTAGCAGGAGTGTAGACAGTATAAGTACTGGGGCGAGCGTGTACGGAGAGAGTGGCGCCTCCATGGGCGCTATTGATGTTGTCGTTAATGCACATTGTCGGGAAGGAAGGAAGGAAGGAAAGCGTTTAAAATCACGCTAGAGCCTGGGAATTTAAAATCCCAAATCACATGACATGCGTCCCTTATCCATGATCAAATAACAATTGCCAAAAGTATCTAGCAGCTCTGCTTCTGGTATATCTGAGTTGTTCATAGGTAATAATTCGGCTTTGGCTACAGTTGTGGATATACTGTTTAATTGAACTGCGATAGCAACGATGTTGTGGAGATCGTTGAGTTTATTGGCGTAGCAGCTTGGAGGTCTATAGAAGTGGTTATAATGAGTTTTTTAAGTGAGAGGATTTTGATTCATGTAAATATTATATTATTTCCAGACTAAACAAGTTTTAAGGGGATCTAGCTCAAATGGTAGAGCGATCGCTTAGCATGCGATAGGCACTGGGATCGATGCCCAGGTTCTCCACAATTTTTTTTTTTTTTTTTTTTTTTTTTTTTTTTTTTTTTTTTTTTTTTTCAAGCTAACAAAATAAAACAAAAACTTAATGCATCATTTATTTTATTGCTACCTGGCGAATAGCCCTGGTAAATTCTAAAAGCTCACACTTTAGCATTGTTGAAATATAGATGTTAGCCAATGAGATTCTTTGGGGTGATTTTGTAAAGCTAGACATTGTGTTTGTACCCTCCTAACTTTCCTCACAAGCTCGAATGTCAATGCCAATCCCGACTACGACCAGTTTGTCCTTCTACCATATAAGATCGCTCAAAGACTTAGAGGCTTCATGGGAAGGGATCCTGCTATTGAGCAAATAGATATGAGTTATATTGGTAACATAAACCCTTATATTTTCGATACATCCATACAGCCCTCACTCATTCCCGTATCTTTCACAATGAACTCGACACCAGAGCAGTGGACATGGCCGTGAAGGGTGAACTTTAGGCATTACTGGTGTTTAGAGCAAAATTTTATTTAATTAAAATGTTTTTTACAATATGCTCATGTAATAGATATTCTCGAGAATTACTATACCACTTTCTTCCTAAATGACATAAGGCAGGAACAAGATCTTTACCCATGCTAATCCTTTCATCATATAATTTTATCTCACCCTCGCCCATCACATTTTTTAACGTACTACATATCCCGATCCACCCATCCACTCATACCTCCTCTCCGCCTTCATCACAATCGGCGTTGTACTCCAGCCCTCCCTTTTACATCACCAATCGAAATACACTTGCCAGGACAAACTCTGCACCCAACCTTTTCGTCATCCAATCTGTTGAAGTTTCGCTATTATTTCCGTGTTAATATTGTGATATATTTATAATCCAGGGGAAAAATGGTGTCAGGCCCGAGTAATCTGCTCTTTTGGGCTGAGGAGGCCAAGGTGAAGCAATGTTTATAGGCGAAGGTAATGTTGAGTCGATAGAAATAATAGCGAGCTTAGAATATATGTCAAGCTAGTTGTTTAGGATATCATTTTAGAATATGAGGTGTTTATTTCGTTCTCAATGCAAAATTGAAGGAATAGATATTAACAATGTACCGATAGAAAAAAAAAAAAAAAATAGACGAACGTAACAATTTTCATTTCTACCAACTAGCTACCTGAATTATGATTGTGAAACAAGATACAAGAGAAAGAAAAGAAAAAAGAAATCTGTACTTGACCTATATGATAATGCGGATATATTTCCGCGCCTTTGGACCATCGTCAATTAATTACATTCACTTCGTCACGATAGCCTTCATCTGACAGCAACTTCTGAGCAATCCGAACTACCATAGCTTTCACTTTGGCGCCTTAATCATAACTGCTTTCTTTGCCTGCTGTGGAATTTGGAATAACGGTGTCGCGGCGTTCTCAGGCGATTTCCCGTTCCCTGACACCTCCACGACCGGTTGCACGAGCTCAACGTAATCGAGCGGGCCGTAAGAGCTATAGTATGCCTGCCTATGCTGTAGCCACACTGGGCTTGCGGGCCCGGAGGGAGGGTATGTGGGCGAAGTGGGACTTGAATGCCCTGGCTCCAGAGGCGGGACAAAATACGAGCTCAGGGCCGGCAGAGGAGGGAACTGCGGGGCCGTCGGCGGGAGGAAGTCGGTCTGGTCGTACTCGTATCCGTATGCATAGTTGGGATCGTAGGTCGGAGGATCAACCGGGTGCTGGTAATCGTACGCCGCAGGGAGCTGGGATCCGTGGGCGGCCTGTTCTTGGTCGACGTAGCCTTGTTCGGTAAAATATTTGTCTTCAGCGGCGTCCGCTGGGTCATCCCCAAATTCTTGTTCCTGCAAGGTTTGTGGGACGAACTCGGGAGCGCCCACAGAAAAGGCCATCTCTCTCGAAATCAAAGCAAACTTGTCCGCATCCGTCGAGGCCTTCCCGAGAGAAACGGGAATAAATTCGGCGGCATCTACAGAAAAAGCCCTCTCCTTCATGTTGGGCCAGTCAGGTCTATCGGACGACGTCGGCGAGACGACTGCCGGCGTGTTGATGCCATGTTTATGAAGCCGAGTCAAAAAGTCCCCTACCTCGACCATCTGCGACGAGTCGGATGAGAGCGACGAGCAGTGCACGGCCGACGGTGAGATGGAAGGCTGTGTGGACGAGGACGAAGAAGGCGGAGAAGGAAATTGCATGAGCTCGGCCTTCTCCTTCGAGATGACTACCGTTTGGCCGTTGACTCCTGTCTCCGTGACATCGTTGAGCCAGTCGGGAAGTGCTCCAAATGTTGCGTTGCTACTATTTACGGGCAAGTTTGGCGTATTATTTGAGTGGACACTCTGTATCAAGTCAGACAGCTTTACGTTCACAGTTGGCGGCGCACTGTGTTCGAGGTCAGATAGTTTTACATTCACAGTTGGAGGCGCATTGTCCCAAAGGGGGTCAGCGCTTCGCAACGGAGGCAGAGGTACGATCGCTTTCAGCGGCTGCGACATCCTTAGTGAGATCAGGTTGCTCAATCTGCTGGAGAAGGGGTCATCAGTCTGCTGCGACATTGATGATTTCACACAAGGAGTGGTCACCGTGATGCGTTCAGGTCGGGAAACATCTTGTTCGGCAGTTTCATTTGGATCTAAAGGCGGTTGGCTGCTAACAACACCAGTATCCTGAGCATTGCCAAAGTCCTCGTTTGCGTCGTCATCCTCGTCCACAAATCCTCTCAAAAAGTCATCCACGATCGAGGTCGATTCCCAGGTAACGATATGCATATCACCATCGTTACTCGCTGGCCTTACCACCTCCTCCTTTGGATGCCACTCCTCTGTGATCATCATACCAAGCCCGTTGCCAACACCGGGACTGCCGAAATCAGCATTCGTCACCCATCCAAGCTGCTGCGCAATCGCCTGTGTGTCCCAGTCAGTGTTCTCCCACCCAAAATTCGTTGCTGGTGGTGCTAACGCGGAGGACACATCGCCCGCGGCGTGGAACATGACAGCAGTCGCAGTGCCATTGAAAGCATTACTCAAAGAAGGTGGGGCGAAATCGGTCGAGCGCCAACGAGGATCCTCTGAGAACGGAATCAACACTGCTTTATCATTCTCATCATAGCCTTCTACACTGTCATTCATGGTCCAGCTCGCTTCTCCACTGTTGAGCAAAATCCCCTCTGGGTACCGCGAGTAACCTGACTGGTAATCGAGTGACTCCTGTATCACTCTGCGCATCTGCTCTTCCTCCAGAATCTCTTCTGTTGTCGGCTCATATCTCGCCTTTCCTTTGCCTGAGGGTTGGCCCGTGACGCGCTGGATGACACGATCGATCTCGTCTTCCGTGCCAGGCTCTGTCAGGCCTTCCTGGCTATACCATCCTTCGAGTGGTACAAATTTGTTCTTCTTCTTCTTCTTCTTTCCGCCCCCGACACCTACTTCCACACCTGTACTATCTTCTTCTCCCCTCCTCTCGCTTTCCTTCTCCTTCGCCTTCTCCTTCTTCTTCTTCGCCTCAGCCAGTCTTCGCATCTCCTCCATCTCCTCGATTCTTTGCTGCTTCCGATTGATCGCCATAACGACTCCTTTTGATATGTCCTCCGCCTCAATTGAGGGCGGTGGCGCCCTCTCCGGCTCAGGCCTTGGTTTCCGTGCACCTTGCCTTTTCCGGTCGTTCAACTGGATATTTAGCCACTCGTCAAACATCTCCTCCCGCTTTCCGTCGAGCATGGGTGCGGATTCATCTTCAGGCTGCAAGGCCTCCCACCGCCTGCGCATCCTTTCCCGTGTTACCATGGCCGAGGCATCGGTGTCCTTACTGGGGGCGTCTTTCGCTACTACGGCGTCGGTGGTGCCCGCTATCGTTACTGGTTCTGATTCGGGTTCTGGAGCCGCAGGTTTCGCGGCATCTTCCTTGGCTACCTTGGGGGGCGTGTCCGCCCTTAGTTTCTTGGCTTTTTTGGTATTCTTGTCCGTTCTCTCTTTCTTTTCATTCTTCTTGGTGATCTCGGCAATAACGACTTCCGGTTGAGCAAGCTTCGCAGTACCAGCGGCGGTGTCCCGGATATGTTGTGCTTCGACATTTGACAAACGCTTGCTGTCCTTGGTCCCGCCGTCACCGTAGAGCCGATGATACGCGACGATGAGGCCATCACAGTCCGGCGTGGGGCTTTGGAATATCCCCCCAAAAATTAGCCGAATCAAAAAGTGCAATTGGTAATCAGGTCACAGGATGACCAACCTGCCGCCACACGCAAAGGTCTCCGTCAACCAAAAGCACCGCCACTCAATACATACCACTCTCTCCCCAACAACGAATCGCCCTGCCCGATCCCCTTCATCAGCTTTCGATAGCACTTTTTATGATATTCGAGCACACACCGCCTCCGCTTCGAATCGCACTCAATGCGGTGATACACCTCATCCACCTTTGTCGGGCGGTGATATACCTCATCCGCCTTTGTCGGATCCCACCAAATCTCACGAAAACTGACTAGGCACATGTCGACCCTGCACATGGCATCCGGGGCAGGCGGGTGCCTCGCCTCCGTCAGACGAGCCCACATCTCCCTCTTGAGCGCCTCCAGCTCTGACTCTGGCACACTCTCATCCAGCTCAGGCCACTGGACGGGCACAGGTTCGCAGGTCGAAAGTAAGTGGTTTCCCTCCTCAAGTGTGGCACGAGCTTCCCGATACTGGTGGCGGTGGAGGTGAACGGCGCCGAGGGCGAGGTGAGCGAGCGGGAAATGACCGGGATCGTGGGCGAGGATGTGCTCGAAGGCGGCGGCGGCCGAGTCGAGGCGGTCGGTGTGGAAGCAGGCAAGGCCAAAGACATACTTGAGGACATTGAGATCATGCTTGGCGAGCTTTTCAGGAGGGGAGGCAGCATCGGGCTCGAGGAGAGGCTGGACAATTGGGCGGTAGGCGGTGAAAGCGTCGCGCCATTCGCCGCGCATGGCGCAGAGGGAGCCGCCTGAGACAAAGGAATAAATATTGAACAAGTTCGTATGTTTATTGTCGGA